GGTGGTTACTCTTTCTAGCTCGAAAAACTCGATTTCTAGCTTTGCCCAAGTGATATGTTAGAAGGCTGGAACTGCAGAACCTGTCCCAAACAAAGCTGCACATTTGTACGAAACGAGCTGGCATACTGTGTTGCTCTTTTTGTAAATTTAAAACAGTTTTTAATTTAACTACAGGTAGAAAGTTAAACTACAGGTAGTTTACTACTGCAATACACACAAGTAAATTGTGATCAGTTTCTATTTCTGATGACTATAAAAGAGAACAGATGAAATTCTTCTTTACCCAAGGCTTACAATTTAGATCCAATAACTGCATTCAGGCTTTTGTGATCCATAAAACTAGTTCCATATCAACACAATCAGTCCAAAGCAGCCTAGGGCCAAGGTCAATGCCAAGGTACTGGTTGTGATAGCACGACTTAAATGCTTGCCCGTTTTTCAGACGAGTTCGCGAACCAGCATGATCGGGCTATGGCTATGGTAACAGGTGTTTATGAGGGCTTTTATGAGGTAACTATTGAGTTTTCCTATTTGTGATTCTAAAAAGATAAGATTACAGAGTTTCCTTTAAAACCTGTAGAGCTTAAAAAAGAAAGAATTTTCTATATTGAATTATTGTTGTATGACTAACGGCTACAGAGGTAATTAAAAATAAATTAAAATTGAAAATTCCCATGTTATTCTTATGGAGAATAAATAAACTGTTTTAGCTAGCTTGTTTATGGATATATTATAATCAAATTTGAACATTTTGTTTATTTTATACTAAGATATCAACATTTCAAAAAAAAAAAAAAAAAAAAAAAAAAAAAAAACCTCGATACCTTCCCTGAAGCAGCACACTTAAGTACTCATTACAAATGAATGTTATTTAAATAGGAAATCAATTTTACAATTTTAAGGGATTTGTATTTTAGTACAAATGCAGCCAGGTAAATGTTTGCTAGTCTGAAGGTTTGCTGCGGCGTGGCAAATTTAGATCTTAAATGTAAAGATCAATTAGTGCTTTGTGTCAAATTAAAAAGAACAGTTTTATAAAGATATTAGATTTTTTCTGAAACAGAGTAAAAATTTATAGGTTAAATTAGCATAAATTGCTCAACAACTCCTAAATAGTTATATTTAGGGCATTTTTGTAAATACAAAAGTTGTTCCTTGGTGTGTAAGCAACATTTATTGTAAAAAAAGTAACACACTATACAGTGTGTAAATTAAGTATTGAAACAAATCTGTATTTTTAAAACCGAAATAGATAGAAATATTCTGTTTGTGGCAATAATTGTTAACAAAGGTTCCGCAATTTTTTACATAAAAAATGTTTTTTACCCCCCTAACAGGGTAGGGGGTAAAGGGTAACTTATTTTTCTCAAATAGCAACCCCTATTGAGTGACCCCTCATTTTGAAGGGTTTGTCAAAAGAAACACAATGACGCAAATCCGGGTTGAATATCTCACCCCTAGCCAAAATGGCGGATATTCAAAAATGGGTGTTTTTTTACAAAAATTAAATTTTTGGAATACCCGCCATTTATGCAAGGGGTGAGATATCTACCTCGGATTTGCGTTATTGTTTTTCTTTTAACAAACACTTCAAAATGAGGGGTCACTCAATAGGGGTTGCCATTTGAAAAAAATAAGTCACCCCCTACCCCCACCCTGTTAGGGGGGTTGAAAAATATTTTTGATGTAAAAATTGCGGAACATTTGTTAGCAATTATTGTCACAAACAGAATATTTCTATCTATTTCGGTTTTTTAAATACAGATTTCTTTCCATTATTTGTGAAATTATTGATTTTTCACATACAGTAAACCAAATTTTGGAATACCTGCCATTTTGGCTAGGGATGAGATATTTACCTCGGATTTGCGTCATTGTGTTTGTTTTAACAAACCCTTTAAAACAAGGGGTCACTCAATAGGGGTTGCTATTTGAAAAAAATAAGTCACCCCCTACCCCCTACCCTGTTAGGGGGGTAAACAAATATTTTTGACGTAAAAAATTGCGGAACCTTTGTTAACAATTGTAGCCACAAACAGAATATTTCTATCTATTTAGGTTTTAAAAATACAGATTTGTTTCAATACTTAATTTACACACTGTATATTACCGTTTTCGAGATATAAGCTCCCTATGAGTTTCATGTAATAAATGCCACCGAAATTTTTAAAATGGCGGATTCTGAGGTTATGCCCACTCTGCCAAGCTGGCACCCACGTGAAAAATGATAACTCGCATAGTACCTACATGATCCCTTAGGGTGTTTTTCTATACATAAAATGCACACGGGAACCCCCCTAGCAAGTGGATTAAATTTTAAATTACCAATTTTGTAATTTTCTCCGTAACCATTCACCGTACAAAACACTTTGATATACTAAATTGTTTGTTTTTTTAAGCTCTTTAAAAAGGTCTGGAGAAAAATTTATAAATTTGGTTTTTTAAGGGTAAACAATTATAAAACCCCATTTTTACCCCATAAAACCCCCTGTTAAACCCCGCTCCCATGGTCCGATCATGCTGGTACGTGAACTCATGCAAGTTTATCCCTCCTAACACCTTCAAACCAAATGTTAATATATATATGTATGTATATATACATATATGAAAATTTGAACGAATGGTGTTTTTGGCCGCTGGGGACATCAAAATGAAAAAAGATCAGTCCCGGGCCTATAGGATAGGACTAGCCATGAGACCTACGGTAATGGCTACTTCCCTATAGGAAAATTCGCTACAACCTAATATTTAGGTATATAAAATGTACTAATCTCTGGTGTCTGTTAACAACTGGTATAATTTATAGGTAACTATTATTTTTGCCTAAAGTCACTAAGATTCATTACGTCTAACAAACAAATTTTAAATACATTTTATCTACAGTGATATAAAGATATATGAAATTGTTTTATTTATTTAGTATACAGTAGTACTGTAGTTATTTGTGTTATAGTGTTCTTTTTCTCTGCATGGCATGTATATAACTTATTTACTTGGAAAATAACCATAGCCACTTTTCTTGATAGGATTTTAGTAAAATGTATATTTAATGATCTCTTGAGCATTAGAAGAAAACTTTGCCAATAAAGCTTGCGAAATGTTTATAAAGTTTCTTGAAGCCTCCGGATCTGTAATTGTTTCATCGGCGTGATGACATTTTGTCTTTATTATTTTTTCTAAATTCTTGTTATTAATTTTATCGTCAGAAAGTTTTGGTTCCTAACCATTAATAAAATAAAAATGATTATAAAATATTAAATGTTTATTCATTAAACGTTTGATAGATTCATAGTAGTGAATTTCTTACACATAAATATTAAAATGTCAAACAAAGTGATTTTTTTATATTCATGAATCAGTTTGTAAATTGATTGAATGAGGGAGAAGCACTTGCATAAATAATGTATTAATATGTTTTGGACCGAAATAATTTCAATGAATGTATATTTAGTCAGTCAGCAACATTGGTTTGCGTGTACGTATCAGATTCCCACTTGTAAATGAGATCAGACTGCCAGTATGGTATAATGTTTGCTTCTATACTTAGGAAATATTTCTTGATTTTTATTTTTTAAATACTCTGAACTGTTCAGTTGCAGTTTTTATTGTTATGACACAAAATTAAAAGCTATCATGGTCCTAACCTGAGCACTTTCAGGTTCAATACAGTAATAATAGACAACCTATTATGACCGAAAAAGCGTTAAAATTTACTTTCAAAACAATTACTTTTTTTATCTTACAAAAATTACAAAAAGGTTCACTTGGTTTATTTTATTTTCGGCCTTGGAAAACTTTAAAGGAATACAGGTTCAAGCCTAATTAAAACTTTCCTTTTGGCGCTTAAGACGGTGAAATTGCGTTTGCAACAGTTTTCTCTCGTTGTTTTACGATTTAAGACCGTATAATTATCACCAGCGTGAGCCGTTCTGAATGCAACATCAGCTTTCTAAAGCTCTTGTGAATTTTATTCTCCGAGGTCTTCTTTTAAGTTTCACAAACTTTTAACGCTAGGCACTTGTTTAGAATATATTTCTTATTATTTGGAATACTTTATGTTGTTACTATAAACAGTTATTAATGTGCATTGCTTTAATTTAGTTATATTATTTTTTATTTCAAAGCGATGCATATACTTAAAAGATTTGGCTTGTGTCGTTTCTTTTTTGCTACCAACTATTATAGGAGTAGACAGCCTTATAAATCAGCTTAAAACCATTTTAATGTTAGTATTGTCTGTTTCATGTATAGGGTGTGTCTTTTATACTTTTTTTCTAAGTATCTAAAGTATATTAAGAGGCAAATATGTTTCTTTAAAACCTTTTTTCTCAGATCGTGTGCATCGCAGAGAAAATCTATGCACACTCTGGCATACTGTTGAAAAGATATTTTTTGTAGATATGCAGAATCCCTTCATAAATTTAAAAAAGCTTAAGAATAAGTACAAAAAAAATATTTAAAACTTTAAAAAAATTAACATAGACCTTGTGGGTTGCCATGCTTGTTGTACGAAATAACAACGCAATATAAACAAAAAGTCAAACAAACTGAAGAAATTCTAGTCACATGTTTTACTTACAGCGTAGGGTGAAAATAGAGAAGTCTGCACATTAAATACTTTTGTCCGAGTTTTCGACCACTGGACGACCTCTACTTTATCTTAATTCAAAACTAGTTCAACCAAATAATCCCCGAGCAGCAAGCCTGCAGACGAAACAACTTTCCGTGTATTGCATTACATTTACAATAGGTTTAGAAGTCGACCTATTTAAAGTCAATGCAAATAGTTTTCCTAAAGTATTCATCAACATTTTTCATCTTCGTTATTTTACCAAAATGTTAAATTGTTTGTGCGTTTGTGTGTTCTAGTGCAAAACGTGTTCCGAATCTTATTGTAAAATTTACAATTGTATCTAATTTTTGTAGTGCTAATTAATTTTAATTTTAATATTTTTTCGGGATAATGAATGGAAGGTAATATAAAATGATAATGTCGCTACTACGGTTTTGTACGTTTTATTGAGATGTGATGGAGGATGTTCAGGCGACAGGCAGGTTGGTGGCAGCGACTCTGAAGCCGTTGTGAGGATCTGCCACGTAGCTAGCAGACTGTACCAGACCGTGGGCGTCGACGTAGCTGTAGGCACCTTGGGTCACACCGTTAGCGTGACGGGTCTCAGTCTTAGAGGAGGTGGGGTTGGAGTAGCCGTAGGAGTATTGTCCAAGCTCATCCTGGGAGTGGTACTGGCTGGAGACGGCGGGTGCAGCTACTGGGGCGGCGTGGTAGACGGCTGGGGCTGGGGCTACTGCGCTGTACACAGTGGGGGCAGCAGCGTGGTACACGGTGGGGGCTGCGTGGTACACGGCCGGGGCGGCGTGGTAGACACTGGGGGTGGCCAAAGCCAAGGGGGCGGCGTAAGCGTATACGGACCTCTTCTTACGTCCAGCGAGGTGGGCGTTTCTCAGTGACTCGTAGTTGTATTGGTTGTAGTGAGCGATCTTGGCAGCGTGGACCTCAGGAGTGTCGGCGGGAAGGTGGGAGGGGTAGACGGCGGCGTAAGCTACAGGGTGTGCCAGGGGAGCAATGGCAGAGTACAGCACCTGACGCCTCTTCCTGGCGAGGATGGCGAGGGGATGGGCGGGTGCGGCTACAATAGGGGTGTTAGCGTCCACGGGGATGTCTGTACCGGCGACGCGGAAGCCGTGGACCGGGTCGGCGACGTAGCTACGGCTCTGCACCAGTCCGTGGGCGTCAACATAGGAGAAGGCTCCCTGGGTGACACCACCAGCACTGGACTCCACCTTGGACGACGGACCGCCGCTGTAGCCGAAGGAGTACTGGCCGAGCTCGTCCTGGGCGTGGTACTGAGTGCGCAGTGGCACCGGCGCTGGGGCGTAGTGAGCCAGAGGAGCTACATGGAGCAGCTGTGCGTGGGCCGCCGCTACTGCCGCTACAAACACGATCTGAAACATCCATCCAGAGTCAGCACTACATTCAACATCTTATAGCCGAAAAAGATTAATGCTCTCAAACTTAGTAATTTCTAGGGTGTTTTCAAGCATATAGAATAATTTTGGATTTAAGTTATATAAGACATGTTTTTATTTTTTTTTTCGAATACATCTAATTGTGTATTCTTAAAAAAAAACAAAAAATATGCTTTAGTCATTAATTTACCTTATAAGTTATCTATCTATAGTTATTATTATTCAATATTTCTTCAACCCACTACAGGTTAGCTACACGTTGTAATAATGTATTTACTAATTAATCAAAAGCATATTATAATGAATTATGGTTCTTCTGGGCTCTTTACAAGTAATATCTCTAGTATAATGTTGCTAGGGACAATCTAGTAGTGTGCCATATAGATAATGAGGTTTGTACTCCTAGGCGGTGTAAATGTGTAGGTGGTACACGCAATCATCAGGTAATTAGCAATTCATGTCAAAACCCTCAGGGAGGAAAAACACTAACCTTAGCTACCTTGCATCAAATAATCTACCTTAGTTAACTTTTGTTAAGGTCAAAGCTCAGTTTCTTGGCCATTTTGCAGTTGTAATTTTAAAACGCAGTGGGATAATGGATATTTATTACAAACGAATATAGAATGCTGTACTAGCTGTCCCGAACATTCTTTACATTTTAAAAGTTTACGCTGAATTATACAAAGTTTATTATTTTTTTTTTGTCGACAGGGGGGAAATGTCAATGTAGGTACTATAAGTTTGAATTTATGAAAAGAAGAAGGGTCACATATTTGTTTATGCTTGAACTGATAATAGATTTCAATATAAATAAGAGTAGCATTCAAAACTTGAAATCCCTTTGTGTAGCGCTAACTAAATCATCCCGAAACATGTCACAGAATGCACCAAGACCTGTAAGAAAGTTGAGTTGGGTTATTACAAATATCACCCCAGTATATTGAGAACTACTATAATCGCTAACCGAATTTTAGTGATAATTCCGCGACACTCTCTGACGTAATCCCGCCCAAACTGACGTAATTTGTAAAACCATTCCTCGCTAGAAAATAATAAAAAAAACCAAGGAGAAAAGTTTCTACAATCTAAGGTATTGAGTTCTCAAAAGTATCATTTCGTTTGCATTACCTTTATTTTTGATAGATCATGCGTTTACTAACTGGCGTTTTATAGCTCGTCGTCTGCAATTATAGATTAAAAAAACATATTGTGCTATGCTTGACGTGTTTATACATTTGTTTCTCATATATTGTACGATACGGAAATCGAAACGAACTAATAAATGAACAAAGTATATTTTTGCGTACATTTTACACACATTCGCCGTCCTAGCCATAGTAAATGATTTACCATATAACAAATGAGTGACATTTATAATTTGTATAATAGCTTGATAATTAATTAAATTTAATATTCAAAGTTGGTTTTTCATCAGGCAAGGAAGGATCCGGATTGTGCAGTGGAAGTGAGCCACTTGTAATACATTATGTAAGATTACTGCTGCATCAGAAGGTCAAGGGTACGAGTGCCACGCCCTCTAAAAAGATCACTACAACATCAGTGACCTTGGAAGTGTGGCGTGAGTATGGGTATTGATATCCGGAACAGACAATAGATAATTCAAGGTCACGTTGGTACTCATTGATGATAACTCTGAGGATTAATGCCCTATGTTTTGTCTTGATCCTGTACGAACTCTTGTTGGAGACCGATGGCACCTTTAGGAGATTTGTAACTTCTATAAGTGGGAGTATTTTACTTTTTATAAATTTAATCACATCATAATAGAAAATTATTTGGTTACAAACTGAACGAGACATTTTCAACCCCTGAAATTGCTCCTCCTCATTTAACAATCCTACACTAAGTAAAAAAGGTTGTTTTTATAACCTTCTTAGATAGCTTTCATTATAAATAAGAAGCTATTACTCTAGGTGACATATTGATTCTTAGACCCGAGTCCACTTTACTTATTTCATTTTTATTTCCCTATATTCCAAAAATAATATCCGTTCAAATTTGTATGAGTGTGTGTGGGTCCGTTCACGTGGTAGCTCGGGCAATAGTGGTTCAATTTTGATTAAAGTTGGCATAAATGTGTAGGACTGGATGAACTTGAATAAGTTCGTAAACAAATTAGATTAGGTAATGAGAACTAGGTTTTAGGGGGTTTATACATTTTTTTTAAAACATTTGCACATTTCCAGCTGTAAAACTTATGTTCAATTGTCAATGCATCCATCCTTTAAGAGTTCAAACAAATACCTCTGTCGCAGCAAACCTGCAGACAAATCGTATTTCAATCTACCTAAATTGAATTTTACCAAACGATTTCCTCAAATATGTCTCCCTGTTTAAATAACATTATATTTAATGAGTACACAGTGTTAACGTTAGGCGTAAGAAAAATTTAGTTTTAATATAAAGTTATGTACCTATTTAGTTCTCAGTGATGTATTCCAAGGCATGATGTTCCGCGAAACATGTTTGGAAAGTTGAAGCTCTACAGCTATTCCTCATGTTGTTAATGCAGATGTATAGATAATATTATACATACACTACTCATATGTGTAATAATACGATACATGCATTAACCTTATGTGCACGAAATACTCGTTCCAGCTCAGAAACAAGTTCAAGTAATTCTCAAGTCCGATCCTTTAGGGTAATTTATCGTATAGACAAGAAAACTCCTTAACTTGGAAAGTTAAGAACCTACACTTTACTCGTACTTAATAGCAAATCATGAAAAAAGGTTAGTACATGAAAATCTAGTTAAGTGACAAGAAACTAAATATTATTTCAGATTCAAATTGTTAAATGGAGGTTTCTTTTTTATACCAGGTTTAATAAAACTTAGTTTGGTTAGTAAATATCTAAAGATTTTAGGCTAAGAATAAAAAAATGATTTTCATAATCGACACAAATTTATTAAATTAGTAGATTTTCTAAATTAGTTTTTACAATTTGTTTAAGAAACTCTCAAATTTGTACTGTGCATTTAGGTTCATTTGGTTATATTTTTCACAATCTATTTTAATGTTTTATACAATAACAAAGTTATAATGTACGTTTTTTTTTGCTGCTTTATAGAAATATATTATGTTTGAATGAATTACAGAGCCTTTGAAGACAAGAATCACGATAGTCATTCTAAAGTCGTATCTAACCTGATTAAACCCTAAACATTCTATTGACTAATTGATTGTAAAATATTTTGTTTGGCTGATACTTGAAATGCCCAAAGGCGAAATTATATATTTAATGAGAAAAATAATGTTCTCCACACTTCACAATCTCAAATGTATACATAGGGATTATACGTTGTTAATTATCTCGAAATCTATTGACAGGTCAAGAATTTAATAATAATTAAGTGCTCAATTTTCTATCAAAGTCATGAAATATCCAGTCTGTGAAAACTTCATCTGCGATAAAAATGAGAAGTAATATTATTAACCTTTCAAGTTGGCTACTTCACTTTAAGAAAGTAATATGTCAACTGCTTAAGGTTAATAACAAAAGTTTTATTTTATACGATGATACTTTGCAAGCATTACCGTGAAACTTTAACAGTATCTCTAGGACCTCGTCGTTGCTGTTTTCTTGTTGTTTTTATCAACTTCTTTAAGTCCGCTCATATTTTTTACATTTTATCCTCGCAAGGCACATTTTGTTACAAAGTATAATGTACTACCTCAAATCACAAAGAACTTATATTTAAAGTAATTCTATGCAGTATTTATTGTGATTTATACATTTATTTCGTTTTGTGGATGAAAATCTATTTTAAACCAATATTAACATTATTATTAGAACATAAATAAAGTAGTTGTATATACGGTTGAATGTATTTTAGGACAAACTCATCGGGTTAAGGACTCTATTCAATCTTTAAAAAATACGTGTTTCTTTGTATGTTGTTGCATTTGGAAGATTGTTATTGTTATTTTACTTTTGTGTTTTGTTCATGGTGAGTACATTAATGTCTAAGCGTGAAAATAAAAAAAAGCTTTCAAAAAGTTTGTAATCATATGAAAAGTGTATGTTTGTATCGCTTAGCTCTGTGACATATATTTTAAATCAATCAATACTTGAGTTCAAGTTGGAATTTTTTTGTCAGTTTCATACTTAATGGTAAAGTAATCGCGGTATTAGAAGCATCTAATAATATATTTTACTGCGATTAAGTAAAGTTCCCCAAAATTCCATTTCAGTATTGTATATTTGTATTTTGTTCTTGTCGAAAAACCCAGGGTTAAATCAAATATTGGCTGTTAATTTTAAATTTTAAATGTTTTATGATTTAAAAAAAATTGTAATTTGAACTAACCAGGACTATTCCTCAGCACTGAGTGGGATGCGTTCGATTAAAAGAAATACAACTAAGATTGAAACAGTATTTTTATACATAAACTTTGATTGTTTTAAACTTTTTATTTTTTATCCATTCAGATCTATTTAATTTGTGATTTATCTAATTATATAACTCAATGAAATGCAAAAACTAAAAGAGAACCTAAACGTAAGCAATTTGACAGCCACAGAGGAAAAGGCACGCATTTTGCTCTAAACGAAATAGGTTGCATCTAGATGGTTGGGATTTTCACTCGATACTTTTCACATATACGTAATAATGAATAAAATATTCAATTTTTTACACTAAAATCAAAGAATTTTGTCATAGAAAAAACTATTTCTAACAATTCTCTGTTAAGATTCAACCGTGTGATGTACTCACCAAACACTTCATCTTGTAGGTAACCTCCTGAGCGACGCTAGGACTGTTATGCCCACCGAGGGCGTCTCATTGTATATATACTGGGCAGGAACCGTTGACCCGCGGGCGCGGCCGCCCTTGACAGAGCCCGGCTTCAGCTTGGCGAGCCCCTTTTTGTTTTTCTGTAGCAGGTTGGAGGATTAAAATTAGGTTGGCCAATTATTTCCAGAAATATGAAAGTTTGGTGTGCCAAAGCCGATTTGACGTGGGAAAAGATATAAAAATCATTAGCGTGCTAAATGATTGATGCATAGAAGAAATTTGATTCGGCTCGGTTAAGTGAATTCATCCATATGACTTGATTGAAATATAATTCTTAAGGCCTAAAAAAAATAAGAGATATATTGCTTATATTAGATATAACCATAATATCTAAAATATTTCAGAGTTCATTTTTCTACTACTGGATATTGAAGACTTAAATTATAAAATAAACTGTTGCCTGTTCAATATCCTTTGACTTTGTCAGAAGACTAGGCCTACTGGTTTCTAGACGACGGTCAAATCATCAGGTCGATCCTCGTAGAATGATTCGTTAAATGCTCTTAAAGTTTAATCCGAACACAGGACACATAATATTTACAAAATATAGTATTTACAATTATTTTCCCGAACTGAACGAAAATCTGATGAGAAACTATACCCGACTACAAAATAATTGTCCCTATGTAGATGTTTAAGTTTTTTTAGTGTGAAGAACATTATTTTTCTTATTAAAAATATAATTTTGCCATTGGGTAGAATCGTTCTACTAGGTCGACCTGATGATGTGACCGTCGCGTCGTCACGAAATCGGTCGTCATCTGAAAAAGTTAAATGATATTAAACAGGTAACAGTATATTTATAAGCTAAAATATAGCTGAAATATGTTTTTATTTTTAAATAATTAAATTGACACAAATAAAAACCAATGGCAATATAAATTTCAGAACTATATTAGCATTTGTTATTTCTCTCTGGTAATTAATTAGGATTAGGTCCTCCAAGGGGTGGCAAAGGACAGTAGTTGAGATGATTAAACTAGAAAACGCCCTGACAGGTTTGTTTTTATACAACGTGTTATAAAAGGATTGTATGGAGTTAGGTACCATAACCTATCCAACATATTTGTCAAGGGAAGGGGGTTTGCTTCAACACCTACTATAAAGTTGATGACTTATTATATGGTGTTTGAAAAGAATTAGTGGCATTGATTACTTACCCCCGGTTTACATAAATTATAAGTATGTCATAGTGCTTTATATCTACCAGGGATGTATAAATGTGCCACTGTGGTTAAAATGTATAAAAACCAGCGCAGCTTCACCGAAGTGTGTACAATGAATGGTTGGGACATTAGGGTATTCAAGTGAAAAATGGGTGTATGATTCAATTTGATACGCACTCTTATGTTTTATTCGATTAACTTTGCTATAAACCTTTTTAAATTTTTACTATTACGAAGAAAACTAAGGCTGGTAAAATTGTTAGATATCACAATGAAACGACATGAATTTTTTAGCTAAATAATGCAAAAAAAACTACATATCTGCAAACTGTTTTATGTTATGCTTATTAAATTTATTTGAATTTCTGTGAGGTATTTTGTTGTACAAAACATTGCGTGACAGACTCACATTTTCCAATAATCTGTTGAGACGTAAAGTAGGCTTGAGCTATTCTATGAAAAAAAATCTATACCATGGCAAAAACAAACAGTCATGCCTACTATTTTATGCCTACCACAAAATTTTATGCTTACCATGCACATCGATTGAAAATTGAACTCTAGTTTCTTAAAAAATTACATTAGATTAAAGTAATCTATATGTAAAAGAATATATTGAAATCGTGAAATCCGTACAGTGCGTGTCGTGTACATGAATAAGTAATTTTACCATACGCATTTTTTATACCTGATGTTGAAATAATAATAAAAGGTGTATGAAGGGAGAAGATTAAAATTACACGTACGTGGGCTCCAGCATAGCGCCGCGGGGCGGTTTCCTCGACGAGTACACAAAAAGTGCACATGTTTATAAACGTAATTAATATTTCATCCAGGCTGCAATAAAGTTGGTGCATGTTATATTTAAGGTTTGCTGTCTATTTCTGGTTAAAATTAAAAAATATAGTTTTATAACCAATTTTTTTAGTGGAATGCTATATTTCAGATTTCTAGGATACCTCTTAGTATCAAACTATAATTAAATTTTAACTCTTTTCCTCTAAAAATTAGGGATCAACTGTTTTTACCATTGGTAAATAGATGGATATAAAAAAAGCTAAAGCGTGTTTTCATGGCAATCATTTGCGGTAACAGCTGTCTTAACAGCGGTCATGAAAATGATATATAAAATACTTGTGTGTGTATGCAAAAACATATTTTCGTCATACTGCAAAGAAAACAGCAGTTTTTAATGCATGGGTCTGGGGTCTAAAGTGGCATAGTAAAAACATCGATATCTTAATAAAGATCGATGAGTTAAAATCATGTTTAGTCTCTAGGGAGTAAAAATCAGCTGTTGTAAACAGTAGTAAATTTCGATTGCAGCAATCGTATCGATCGAAATTATTTATCGATTGATTTATTAGGTAAGGTTTTAGCTCATTGTTGTCGATAGCTCGACATATTGATTGTATAATGTACTGGAACACAATCGTAATAGACTAAATAATGTAATCACTTACTAAACAGCTGCTTATTTGTATACATAGAATTGAAAACAAGCTAAAAGTTGTTTTGAGAGGTTATCTTTATATATAAATTATTTCATTTTCTAGCTTAGTTTGTTAATTAATTATGCAATATGACGAAAAATATAGTTCACCACATGGGCAAAAAGGGTCTTTTTAACCCTTGCTAATTTGTCTAAAAAACTTGACTTCGTGTCAAAAAGAGTCACTTTAGGCCCTAGTGATGAAATATACTATTTGGTTGTGCTATCAGATGACATTCAAACTTCAATTTCCATAAAAATACATGTAGACTGTATTAACCAGTGTCTTAGAGTTCAAGCAGTGTATATCATAGTTAATTATAAACAAGGTTAATCATATACTTAAATTGAAAGTATATTATTATGAATAATTGTTACTGATGTCATTAGGTAATAAGTTCTGGTGTAAACCATCTTCCACCATTGAGGAAAGTGCATAAAATTGTTCATTAAAACAACAGACCATAAATTAAATTGTGGGCTTCAAATTATAAACTAACTAATAACTGCTATTATTTTGTGCAAACTTTTTGTAAAAATGTTCTTTCTAAATTGGCACCATATTGGCCGATACCTTACATAACACTGAAAAGTGAAATAAACATAAAACCATTAGTTTACTCTTAGTATATTAATTAGTCAAATAAACTGGTCGACAAAGTAGACATATTTCGGAGCTCGGCTAGGATGAAACCACTGTAAACTGTGAACTGCACGGAGGTGTTCCGCGTTAGCCACCGTCATATAATATTCCTGAAAATGCGGCCGCTTCTGGAATAATGAGCTCCATAAAATATCCCTAATGAAATGATAAATTCATGGCGCCATTGTAGATGTGGACTCATTCATTCGTACAACAGAGCTCAGATATAAAACCACGCCTGTATAAAGTTAGATTATTTTGTAAAAGTGAAAACGTAGATATTTGTGTTGGTCAAAACTAAATGTAACAAAACATCACAGCAAAAATACTTATTCTGTGTTACTTGTTACTAGTTGTACGTAATGTTTTTATACAATGGTCTAAAACGCGTACTTAATTGTATGGTGTTCAATCGCGTAAGATTGTATAGTGGTTTTGAAGTTCTGAGTAAAAATAATAAATGGTCTATCAACCTAAACTTGTGACACAGTATTTTTGTATTAAAGGTTCAAGTTCTGGTTAAAAAATATACTTTGCCACTTTCAGAAATTCTATGTATTTTGGGTTCAACATTTGAGTTACGAGCTTCAATAAGCAAATACCTAAACAATTTCTCAAATTTCGTAAGCTAAAAATAGTATATAGCTTAGAGCCGTTTTTGGGGTTGTCACGTTTATGAGCTGCGAACGTTTCTCTTTGTGCAGTAATTATACATCAATAACAATTTTAAATACGTGATAATGTTGTAATGCTACTTTTAGTTTTGCGAGTTTCTCCAGGAATTACTATCACTTGTATTGTTTGAATAAGTCACTACTTATTCGTGAACACCAAATCGCATGTATCTTGATGTTAATATTTGACGATAAGTAGCCTCTGTTGTACTATATGAATTTATAATTGAGGCAGCCATCGAAGTGCAGAATTATTAATGACATGTTGACACTACAGCAGCCACCAGGTCTCAGACCAGGCCCGTATGTGTGTGTGCGTGTGTATATGCACGTATGCGTGTGTGCGGTAGGCGTGTTCGTCCTTGGACCCGACCTTCCCACCCACCACCCAAGGTATCCGCCGAAGACTGCCCTCTGGTTCTACCAGTCTAAGAATAATCTTGTATATCCTATTGACATCCTGGAGTGAAATTAACCATATAAGTCATTCAATAATTTTTACCAGCCGAGCAAGAAACGAAATGTTTAAATGAACTGTTTTGAATACTCGTAAATTATTTTTCCTAGATGATTTAATTAATTCGATACAAAGTTATGAACGTGATGTCACATGTTTACAGACTCTGTACAGTATTAGGGTTCGAGCTGATCTAGTGGTAGAGCTCGGGCCTTTAGAGCCCGAGGTCCCGGGTTCAAATCCAGGCAATCACCGATGGATTTTATTTAATCTATGTAATAATGCCACGACCCTCTAGGACTATCCTGAAGTAAGTTTAACATAGTTTTAACATAGTTCCAGACCAGAACCTAGTGTATTCCTGATTGATTCCTATAAATGCAATACATAACCAAACGTTGTTGTAGTCTAGTTTCAATTTACTTGTCAAATAAAGGTTTTCAGCTAATTATTAAACATAGTGGAATTAAATATCTAGTAAGGTAGCAAAGTCGCCTTAATAAATAAATATATATATCTCTAAACTTTTTATCGTTTATTTTCATAGTCATAACGTAAAAATATAGAAACTGTTACAGTTCTAAATTCACCGAGGTAC